GCAACCCCAAGACACATAATTTTCAGATTCACCAAGCCTGAAATAAGGGAAAAAATATTAAGGGCAGCCAGAGAGAAGGGTGGGGTTACCCACAAAGGGAAGCCCATGAGACTAACAGGAGATCTCTCTGCGGAAACCCTACAAACCAGAAGAGGGTGGGGGCCAATATTCAACATAGTATTGGAAGTTCTGCCCAGGGCAATCAGGCAAGATAAAGAAATAAAGGGCATTCAAATAGGAAAAGAGAAAGTCAAATTGTTTCTGTTTGCAGATGACATGATTGTATATTTAGAAAACCTTATAGTCTCAGCCCAAAATCTCCTTAAGCTGATAAGCAACTTCAGCAAAATCTCAGGATACAAAATCAATGTGCAAAAATCACGAGCATTCCTATACACCAATAATAGATAAACAGAGAGTCAAATCATGAGTAAACTACCATTCGCAATTGCTACAAAGAGAATAAAATACCTAGGAATACAACTTACAAGGGATGTGAAGGACCTCTTCATGGAGAACTACAAACCACTGCTCAAGGAAATAAGAGAGGACACAAACAAGTGGAAAAACATTCCATACTCATGGATAGGAAGAATGAATATCGTGAAAATGGTCATACTGCCCAAAGTAATTTATAGATTCAATGCTATCCCCATCAAGCTACCATTGACTTTCTTCACAGAATTAGAAAAAACTACTTTAAATTTCATATGGAACCAACAAAGAGCCTGTATAGCCAAGGAAATCCTAAGGAAAAAGAACAAAGCTGGAGGCATCATGCTACCTGACGTCAAACTATACTAAAAGGCTACAGTAAACAAAACAGCATGATACTGGTTCCAAAATAGATATATAGACCAATGGAACAGAAGAGAGGCCTCAGAAATAATGCCACACATCTACAACCATCTGATTTTCGACAAACCTGACAAACACAAGCAATGGGGAAAGGATTCCCTATTTAATAAATGGTGTTGGGAAAACTGGCTAGCCATATTCAGAAAACTGAAGCTGGACCCCTTCCTTACACCTTCTACAAAAATTAACTCAAGGTGGATTAAAGATTTAAATGTAATACCTTAAACCATAAAAACCCTAGAGGAAAACCTAGGCAATGCCATTCAGGACATAGGCATGGGCAAAGACTTCATGACTAAAACACCAAAAGCTATGGCAACAAAAGCCAAAATTGACAAATTGGATCTAATTAAACTAAAGAGCTTCTGCAGAGCAAAATAAACTATCATCAGAGTGAACAGGCAATGTACAGAATAGGAGAAAATTTTTGCAATCTACTCATCTGACAAAGGGCTAATATCCAGAATCTACAAAGAACTTAAACAAATTTACAAGAAAAAAAGGATATGAACAGACACTTCTCAAAAGAAGACGTTTATGCAGCCAACAAAGATGAAAAAAGTGCATCATCACTGGTTGTTAGAGAAAATGCAGATCAAAACCACAATGAGATACCATCTCATGCCAGATAGAATGGCAATCATTAAAAAGTCAGGAAACAACAGATGCTGGAGAGGATGTGGAGAAACAGGAATGCTTTTACACTGTTGGTGGGAGTGTAAATTAGTTGAACCATTGTGGAAGACAGTGTGGTGATTCCTCAAGGATCTAGAACCAGAAATACCATTTGACTCAGCAATCTCATTACTGGGTATATACCCAAAGGATTGTAAATCATTCTACTATAGTGACACATGCACACGTATGTTTATTGCAGCACTATTCACAATAGCAAAGATTTGGAACCAACCCAAATGCCCATCAATGATAGACTGGATAAAGAAAATGTGGCACATATACACCATGGAATACTATACAGCCATAAAAAAGGATGAGTTTATGTCCTTTGCAGGGACATGGATGAAGCTGGGAACCATCATTCTCAGCAAACTGACTCAGGTACAGAAAACCAAACACTGCATGTTCTCATTCATAAGTGGGAGTTGAACAATGAGAACACATAGACACAGGGAGGGGAACATCACATACCAGGGCCTGTTGGGGAATGGGGGGCTTGGGCAGGGATAGCATTAGGAGAAATACCTAATGTAGATGGTGGTTTGATGGGTACAGCAAACCACCATGGCATGTGTATGCGTATTTAACAAACCACGTTTTGCACATGTATCCCAGAACTTTATATATGTAAATATTATACATATAATATTATTATATATATAGTATATTTATTATATGTATATCACTCAATGCCACTAATCATCATACAAATGCAAATTAAAACCACAATGAGATATCATCCTACACAAGTCCAAATGTTTATTATTGAAAAGTCACAAAATATCAGATGTTGGTATTGATGTGGGGAAAAGGCAACCTTCATTTGCTGTCAGTGAGAATGTAAATTAGTACAACCTCTTTGGAAAATAGTATGGAGATATCTCAAAGAAATAAAAATAAAGCTATTATTTGACCCAGCAATCCCACTACTGGGGATTTACCCATGGGAAAAAATTATTACATAAAAACATCAGCATCTTTATGTTTCTTGCAGCACTATTCACAGCAGCAAAGTTATGGAATCAACCTTAGCAGATGGTTGGAAAAAGACAATGCGGTATATATACACCATGGGATACTATGCAGCTATGAAAAGAATGAAATAATGTCTTTTGCAGCAACATAAATGGAGCTGAAGTCCATTATCGTAAGTGAAATAATTCAGAATCAGAAAATAAAATATTGCATGTTTTCACTTACAAGTGGGAGCTGAACAATGGGTACTCATGGACATAAAGATGGAAGTAATAGACACTGGGGACTCCAAAAGGGGGGTTGGTAGGGGATTAAATATTACCTACTGGTGGAGCAGAATAGATAACTTAGATATAAAAGTCACACCTCTACAGCCATCTTATCTTTGACAAAGTTGGAAAAAAAAGCAATGGAGAAAGTCTCTCTATTCAGTAAATGGTGCTGGGATATTTGGCTAGCTGTATGCAAAAGAATGAAACTGAACCCCTATCTATTCCATGTACAAAAATTAACTCAAGATGGATCAAAGATTCAATGTAAGAACTGAAACTATAAAAATCCTAGAAGAAAACTTAGGAAACAGCATTCTGGATATCAGCCTTGGCAGATAATTTATGACTAAGTCCTCACAAGCAATTGCAACAAAACCAAAAATTGACAAATGTGAACCAAATAGATGAAAGAGCTTCTACGTAGCAAAAGAGATATCAAGGGAGTAAACAGACAACCTATAGAATGAAAGAAAATATTCACAAACTATGCATCTGACAAAGCTCTAATATCCTGAATTTATAAGGAACTTAGACAATTCAGTAAGCAAAAAATAACCCCATTAAAAAGTGCACAAAATACATGAATATATGCTTCTGAAAAGAAGACTTACGAGTGGCTAAGAAACATTAAAATGTCCTTCACATCAGTAATGTCAGAAAAGAGCAAATCAAAACCACAATGAGATACCGTAATAATAGTCAGAATGGCTATTATTAAAAAGTCAAATAACAAGAGAGGCTGGCAAGCCTGTGGAGAATAGGGAACACTCATACACTGTTTGTAGGAATGTAAATTAGTTTAACCACCATGGAAAACAGTTTGGAGATGTCTCACAGAATTTAAAAACAGAACCACCATTTGACTCAGCAATCTCATTATTGGGTATATACCCAAAGGAAAATAAATCTTTCTATCAAAAAGATTCGTGCACTTGTATGTTCATTACAGCACCATTCACAATAGCAAATAAATGGAATCAACCTTGATGCCCATCAGTGATGGACTGCATAAAGAAAATGTGGTACATATATACAACGGCATACTATGAAACCATAAAAAATAAAATAATGTCCTTTGCAGCAACATGGATAGAGATGGAGGCCATTATCCTAAGTGAATTAACGCAGGAACAGAATACCAAATACTGCATGTTCTCACTTATAAGTGGGAGCTAAACACTGGGTACATGTGGACATAAAGATGGGAACAATAGGCACTGGAGACTACTAGAGGGGAGAAGAAGGGAGGGGGCAAGGGTTGAAAAAGTACTTGTTGGGTACTATACTGACTACCTGGGTAATGGGATCATTCGAACCCCAAACCTCAGCATCACACAATATAATCATGTAACAAATCTGTACATGGACTCCATGAATCTAAAGTAAAAGTTGTAATTATTTAAAAATTACCTATTGTGTATAATGTTCACTATTTGGGTGATGGGTACACTGGAAGCCCAAACCTCATCATTATGCAATATATCCATGTAACAAACTTGAACTTATACCCCTCGAATCTAAAATTTTTTTAAAAGAGAAAAATAATAAAAAGCAGCATAATCATGGTTTCATATATTATTTTGCCCTTAAGGGGGGGAAATTCTGTGATTTGCCACAAAATGGATGAATCTCTAGGATATTATGCTAAGTAACATAAACCAGGCACAGAAAGACAAATGCTGCATGATTTCACTCATGTGAAATTTAATAAAGTTGAACTCATAGAAGTAGACAGTAGAATGATGGTTACTAGAAGCTGGAGGGTAGGAGGGAGTGAATGGGGAGTTGTTGATGAAAGGATGCAAAATGTTTAAGATCTGTACACCAGGGTGCTTATAGTCAACAATATTGTATTGCATATTTTGAAATAATTAAATCGACAAATTTCAAATATCTTACCATAAAAATGATAGGTAAGTGTGGTGACAAATACGTAAATTAGCTTGATTTAAGCGTTCTGCATTTTTTGCATATGTCAAAGCATCACATTGTACCTTATAAATTGTATATATTTATGATTTGTATTAGTTTAGAAGTATTAATTTAGAAAAGAATTTAAACTTAAGGGTACAAAGAAGAAAAGAGGAAATGAAAGTAGAAAATGACACCTTAATATTAAAAATGGACTGAGATTCCTAACCATTAAGATGTTTGTTTATTGGCAACAAAACCAAACTCCTGATCTTACCTTTATCTGCAGCATTTGGTGATGGTCACTTGTTTTGTTTTCCACTTGGTTTCTGCTTGATTTCTTCACCTCCTATAGCACTCTGTTTCTTTCTATGTCTAGTCTCACTCTCAGCACTGGCAGTGTTGGAAGTATTGAGAGCATTATCAATGTCAGAAGTGCTGGGAGCATTTTCAGAGATGAAAGTGTTGGGAGCACTGTGAGAAATAGAAGAGCTTGGAGTACTGTCAATACTTGATGGTTTGGGAGTACTATCAGATGATCTGTGATTTCTGTCAGAGGTGGCAGTCTTGGGAGTATGATTAGTGCTAGAAGGGTTCAGAATGCCATCAGAAGTAGCAGGGCTCAGAGTAGTGTCTGAGATGGAAATGCTAGGGACATGGTCAATGGAAGAATTTCTGGGAGTTTTGTCAGCAATGTTAGTGCTTGGAGGGCTGTGAACAGTGTAAGTACTGGGAGTACTGTCAGTGTAAACATTTACATTGCTCGCAGTGTAGGTACCTGGAGTATTGTCCACAGTGTAAGCGTTCAAAGTATTGTCCACAGTGTAAGCGTTCAAAGTATTGTCCACAGTGTAAGCGTTCAAAGTATTGTTCACAGTGTAGGTGCTCAAAGTATTGTCAACAGTGTAGGTGCTTGGAGCATAGTTAACAGTGCTTGGAGTACCAGAAATATTGAAAAAATCATTAGTTTTGTTCGCAAGCAAAGAAGTGTTGTTAGCCACATAGCTATTCTTTTGTCCACCAACTTGTCTAGTTTTTTTCTTCATATGTTCTCCCATTTTAGCAGCTCTTTCACTGAGTTGGTTATAATTTGCTATTCCATGGGAATAGGTTTCTAAAAGAGACAATAGAATACTGTTTAATAATTATAATAATTACATATCTCAAAGCTTTTGTTTTTAGAGACAGGGTCTCACTCTGTCATCCAGGCTGGAGTGCAGTGACTCAGTCATAGCTAACTGTAATCTTGAACTCCTGGGTTCACGGGATCCTCCTGCCCTGACTTCCCAAAATGCTGGGATTACAGGCACGAGCCACAATGCTTGGCAAGGTCTTTTTTTTTCTTTTTCAAATCTAGTCAACAAAAGAACATTGATAAGCCATGCTTCGCTTTAAAAAATTTTTACTTTGCTTTCATACAGGCATTAGGGGTGTGTGTGTGTGTGTGTGTATGCATACGCACATTTATAATGTATTGATAGGTACAGATAGAGAAACATGAGTAAATACAGTGTTTTCCTAGGTAGTAACTTTACTTCCAAGTTTTACGTTCTTAAATCTAAATTTGAGCTTCTAGTGTATTTTGTATTTTTAGTATATGGCGTTAACAATCAAAACATTTTTAATAATTGTTCAATCTGATATTATAGATCCAGTAAGTAAAAATAAATACCACAAATTACATACTACGTCAAAGTACAGCAAACACTTAAGGAAAATTTGAATTTATAGAACATTTGCCCAAGATGTAAACTTTAGACAAAATGCTTATGCACGAGCGTTTTGCCTAGGGATTGTCATCAATCCTAATATAAATGCATTAAATGCAATCATTTATGGAAGTGTTACTATCTTCCTCTTTTCATTTTAATAATTATCCAAGGTTGCTGATTTTAACAAACTCAAAATATTTCCTGTTTAAGAAAATTATATACTACCATGATGTTCTTGGTATATACACGTTGCTGGTAGTGGCGAGAGTGGTGGCGGTGGTGGTGGCGGCCACAGCTGCTATGGCACAGACTCTTGGATGTAGGTGGTGGAAATTCCTCTTGAGCTGAGGGATACATAAGCTGAGGGGCTTGTGGATATAAAGGAGAGGATGGTGTTATAAAGTGTGTTACTTGTATAGGTGCAGGCATGGATGTGTGATAGTTGTCTGAGAACAATGATAATTTTGCGAATCCCATTTTCTTCTACTACCTAAGATGGAAGAAAGAATAATATAAAAATATTAGAATCCATAAAAATCAGCATTTTGCTCTGTTAAACTTTGTATTTATATTATATGCTTTTAATTTAGAAACGAAAAACAATTTTCAAGTGAAACTATAATGTCAAGCAGGAGGCAAGGTAATTCTTCTTTTTCCCCACATGTATTGCTTTTAAAGAGGTTATATTTTTAAATTTAAATTTTATTTTATTCTATTTTATTTTATTTTATTTTTTTTGAGACGGAGTCTTGCTGTGTCGCCCTGGTTGGGGTGCAGTGGCGAGATCTCGGTTCACTGCAAGCTCCGCCTCCCGGGTTCACGCCATTCTCCTGCCTCAGCCTCCGGAGTAGCTGGGGCTACAGAAAATAGGTTATTTTTTGACAATAGATAATATATTGACATGATTCAAAACCATAAAGTATAAAGAAGCGTATGATTAAAAGTTTCCCAGCAGGGTGCCATGGCTTAAGCCTGTAATCCTAGCATTTTGGGAGGCCGAGGTGGGCGGATCACCTGAGGTAAGGAGTTTGAGACCAACCTGGCCAACACGGTGAAACCCCCTCTCTACTAAAAAAACAAAACAAAACAAAACAATAATTAGCCGGGCGTGGTGGCGGACGCCATGGCGGGCGCCTGTAATCCCAGCTACTCGGGAGGCTGAGGCAGGAGAATCGCTTGAACCCGAGAGGTGGAGTTTGCAGTGAGCCGAGATCATGCCACTACATTCCAGCCTGGGCGACAGAACGAGACTCAGTCTAAAAAAAAAAAAAAAAGTAACCCTATCTGTTCAATACCTTCCCAACAGATAACTACTGTTCTTAGTTTCTTATGAATCCTTCCAGAATTTCTTTATACCTGTACAAGCAAATAAGAATGCATATTCTTATTTTTCCTTTATTTTTTATTACATAAAAGGTAGAATTGTACGACTTTGTAACTTGAACTCAGCGTTAATCTTGAAGGACTCTCTGTATCAAAGTAGATAGAGCTTCTCTATTATTATTATTATTTTTTGCATAGCCAAAGAGTGCTCCCTTATGTGGATGTACTATACAGTCACCCATTGACAAGCATGTGGGCTGTTTTCAGCCTTTTGTGGTTATAAACAGTATTGTAATGAATAATCTTGTATATTTTTCATTCCAAATTTGTGAAAATATATCTGTAGGATAAATTTCTTAACGTGGAATTGGTGGGTGAAAGGATTATGCATTTGTATTTTCATTAGATATTGCCCAATAGATAATTCCATTAAGAATTAAACCACATTAAATTTATTTATTTAGCATGTTATTCATATCCACAGCTGTGCAATAAACACAACGAAATAAGCCACTAAGGTAAACACTATGAAGAAGTAGAAAAAGTCATATTTTCAATTATAAAAATTTCCTAGGCTATGGAATATCTTATTAATCTTTATAGGAGTTATAGCTTCCTGCTCATTTTAGGCACCTGGCAAATATTTATGGAATTTCTTAAAAGTGCCCCTAGCAGTCTGGGAATGAAATACTTCTGAACTGAAAATGCAAAGTAATTTTAGGGACTAAAACACACACATTATCAGAAGCCATTAGTGTAGCAATTTTGCTAGATAAGATGGGTGAAAATACTGAAAAACCAAAAAAAAAAAAAAAAAAGGAAGATTAGTGAATATTAAGAGATCCAAATTCACTGGACGAATTAAACATCGTTTATAAGGCAATCTAAAAGAGGACTGGTTTGGTTAAATGCAATGGCTTTTAGCAATGATGATAACAGTAAAATAAATAAATAAATAACATGCCAGAAGTTATCTTATATAGTGACATAATGAAAAATGTTAAATGATAGAGCTAAACATCAAGTAAAAACCACATGAGCATACCTGAGACATGTAGCCAGGAGGGAGATAGATTGATGGCAAAGTACCAGGTGGTGACATCAGAGGAACATCAGCTGATCCTAAAAGAGAATTATTTTAATAAATACTGTAATAACATTAAACAAAGTCCTTCACAGGAGTCAGTTAACTTTGTACAGTCAAAACCAGCTCCAAGCTTTAATAATAGTCAGCTATTTTACCAGGTGGTGACATCAGAGGAACATCAGTTGATCCTAAAAGAGAATTATTTTAATAAATACTGTAATAACATTAAACAAAGGCCTTTACAGGAGTCAGTTAACTTTGTACAATCAAAACCAGCTCCAAGCTTTAATAATCGTCAGCTATTTTGAAAATATGTGTTGTTTACTCACAAGCATGAGTCAGAGTGTAGATGAATTGATGAAAATTAATCACAACTAATGGGAGAATAACCAAGGCATGGTTTAAATTTAAACTATAAAAAATATTGGTAATTCCTACTGCTAATGAAAATCAACTATCATACCAGCCTTCTGGTATAATTGTACCTTTACTTATCTATTGTTTCTCACCTATCATGGTCATATATTGGATAATAAAAAGTTTACTCTGTAACATAACATATATTTCTTACAGTGACATTGCCTAATAAAACTTAAATTTTCATTTAAGGCTTTCCATCAAATATACTAAAGTGGTTTTTAGAAAACAGTATGTTATAAAGAAGGACCCAATAATACTCATGTGATGCCCTACTTTCATACTACGTATTTTTAGTATCTTAAACATATGATTGCATAGTATCTAAAATACAACACGGAATGGAGACTTTTAATGTTGTAATTCTTTTGTTTATCTGAAGTTATTATAATTAATGCTTAGTTCTAGAAATATATGTGGCTTTCAAGTCCTAGAATGGTAATTTACTTTGAATAATGGGAAAATAATAAATATGAATTCGTGATATATTTTGTATAGCAGCAATACGAAATCCATTGGTAGGTGATAATGTTTTTAGAAATTCTTGAGACAGCTCAAAATCACTTTAGGATACAAAATAATTGGTGTAAAACAGTCATCTCATTGAAATAATAATAAAGCTTATATGAAGCAAGTATTTATGAATTTTATATTAGTACTGAAGCAAGTCTACATGCTATATATTTGCTATCTACCTATCTATAGAGTATGTGTGTGTGTGTGTGTGTGTGTGTGTGTGAGTGTATGTCTGTATAATCACCCCTTCTACACATTGTTGTATCCTAAGTGTCCAGTAGAGGGCTGGTACATGCTAGACACTGAGTAAATACTTGTTGAATGTATGAATGAATGAGCTGTCTGAAGGCCTTAGCAATCATCTCCTATAGGAGAATAGTCTAAAACTATAATCAGCTATCAATATCTCCAAAATCTGGACTTCAAATAGAATTTTGGAATTAATCTCCTTCAGTTTTTAAAAGTACTTTACTTTTGTAGGTCTCTAGTAAGATTAGCATGATTAGCCCGGGTTATTCTATTGATACTAACCTCCTATGAGGATTATATTTAGGAGCATTTAATCTGTCTCAAACAGTAAGTGGGCTACAGTAAAGTCATTTCACATTAATATTTAATTTCACTCTATTTGATATCAAGTAACACATGCCTAATTACGCTTTAACTGACCTTGAATATTCTGAATAGTCTCATCATCAGACTTGATGGTATGGGTCTCCCCAGGGTTAACTTGAACCAACATAATCTAGAAATAATTTTTTAACGACTTCCTTTTCTATTATTCTATGAGAAATTATTATCTTTCTGAATAATATTTGGACTCACTAATTATGGGGATCTCAAGGTGCTCAAGGAGAAGAGTACAATTGGATCAATGGACATTTAGATGAAATTTAATATCCATTAATAAGACCAGATAATCCCCCACCCAAGTAAAATTTAACATAATAAGGTCATTGAAAATGGATGCATTAGCTGGGTACAGTGGCTCATGCTTGTAATCCCAGCACTGTGGGAGGCCAAGGTGGGTGAGCTGCTTGAGTTCAGGAGTTTGAGACCAGTCTGGGTAACATAGCGAGACCCTGTCTCTACTAAAAATATGAAAAATTAGCCAGGTGTGGTGCTGTGTGCCTGTGGTCCCACTACTATGGAGGCTGAGGTGGGAGGATCACTTGAACCCTGGGGATGGAGGTTGCAGTGAGCTGAGATCACACCACTGCACTCCAGCCTGAGTGACAGAGTGAGACCCTGTCTTAAATAAATAAATAAATAAATAAAATAAAAATGGGTGCATTCCATGGAATACTATGCAGCCATAAAAAGGAATGAGATCATGTCCTTCGTGGGGACACAGATGAAGCTAGAAGCCGTTATCCTCAGCAAACTAACGCAGGAACAGAAAACCAAACATGGATGTTCTCATTTATAAGTGGGACCTGAACAATGAGAACACGTGGACGCAGGGAGGGGAACAACACACACTGGGGCCTGTCGGGAGAGAGAGGGTGGGGTGGGGTGGAGAGCATCAGGAAAAATAGTTAATACTTGCAGTGCTTAATACCTAGGTGATGGGTTGATAGGTACAGCAAACCACCATGGTACGTGTTTACCTATGTAACAAACCTGCACATCCTGTACATGTACCCCAGAACTTAAAATAAAATAAAATGGGTGCATTGACATAGAAAGATCAACTCCTCTGCCCTGAAAAAAACCCCACAAGATGAAACACAAAACAGAGCTTCATATCTGAAGGTAAAATTCAGACATACTTGTTGTGTCCAGTACTGAGGACAAGAAGACCATTTGGTATATCTCTCAGGATGAGTCAACATTTGTGAATAATTAGTGATATACTGTATTGCAACAGTGGTGTCTAGATGACTAGATACCAGGACACCAGTTTAAACTGTCTAGGCCAGTTTAAAGCTGGACATCTACAATAAGACAACCTCTAATTAGGTTGGGCAGTCAAATTTCATCTTTTTAACTCATAGGGATAGATGCATGCTTATTTTGTTTACACATGACTTCTGAGAGTATTGCAGGAGTTTTAATCAAAGAAAGCAAATAATTAAAATAGTAGCAGTAGTAATAATAGTAATAGATAACACATATTGCTCTCTTACAACATGCTAGGTACTGTTCTAAGCATTATTCATGCATTAGCTCATTTAATCCTTACTATCACTATATGAAGTTATTTTGTAAATGTTTATTATGTTATTATATATTGAGCATCTATTTTGTGATTTGCCTGTTCTGTGATTGTGAGGAATGTACAGTATCTTTCCTTTGCCATCCACCTGCCTGCCCTGAAGTTGCAAAGGTAAGTTTTTCTTCTAAGGAAGGGCGTTTAGAAATAAAACAAATAAGGCGATCAATGTAGGTATTTCCCAAGTTCTGACTTGTGCCCTGCACATAGTCATCCACCCTAACTCTTGGGCCTGATATTATCATCTGGTGGCCAAAACAAAGAATTGACTTCAGATTTTTTTTTTTTCCAATTCATCCCCTAACCTAATTCACTCTGTACCCTGTTGTTTTCTGTATTTATTTTTATTGCTTAGTTAATTCTACCACCGACAAGATTTTTCTTACATACCATCTTAATTGTTTGGTCTTTCAACGCTTGCATAATTCCCACATTTCTGTCTAATCTGTGAACCTCAGGAGAGAAAAAAACCTTTGACATCATTCATCAGTAAAAGGTAGTGCTGGTATTAAGTCTAAAATAAAGTGTTAGATTTAGAAGTGAAATTATATATGGCCAATAAATGCCATTATCTGCTTGCCCAGAAGTTTCTTAACAATTCCCATGTTGCCAACTACTACTTTTACATGTCCTTTAATTTTAGTTCATTTTCTCTTAAACACCAGCATTCAATTTTTCATAAAAAGGACTTTTTTTAAATTTTATTTTTATTTTTTATTATTATTATACTTGAAGTTCTAGGGTACATGTGCATAACGTGCAGGTTTGTTACATATGTATACTTGTGCCATGTTGCTGTGCTGCACCCATCAACTCGTCACACCCATCAACTCGTCATTTACATCGGGTATAACTCCCAATGCAATCCCTCCCCCCTCCCTCCTCCCCATGATAGGCCCCGGTGTGTGATGTTCCCCTTCCCGAGTCCAAGTGATCTCATTGTTCAGTTCCCACCTATGAGTGAGAACATGCGGTGTTTGGTTTTGTGTTCTTGTGATAGTTTGCTAAGAATGATGGTTTCCAGCTGCATCCATGTCCCTACAAAGGACACAAACTCATCCTTTTTTCTGGCTGCATAGTATTCCATGGTGTATATGTGCCACATTTTCTTAATCCAGTCTGTCACTGATGGACATTTGGATTGTAAACTAGTTCAACCATTATGGAAAACAGTATGGCGATTCCTCAAGGATCTAGAACTAGATGTACCGTATGACCCAGCCATCCCATTACTGGGTATACACCCAAAGGATTATAAATCATGCTGCTATAAAGACACATGCACACGTATGTTTATTGCGGCACTATTCACAATAGCAAAGACTTGGAATCAATCCATAAAAAGGACTTTAATGTTCTTTGTGGTTTCTGTTTTAATTAACACTGTAAGAATATAATGTTCTTAGTATTTGTCATCTCAGTTATATAGCATTTCAGTTAGATGTGTAAAATAATTTTTCTGGGACCTCTAATGACCATTTTATAACTTTTTTGGCAAAATGCATAAGGGGAGGTCTTTATTAATAAACCTACATGCTTTTAACACACACCTATTTGTTAAATGGGGGTCACAATATAAAACAAAAAGCTAAATTGACTATAATAAAATATTAACATATGTTATACAGACAGTAGGTTCCAGAATATGTCAGGAAAGTGAGAGATCAATGTGGCTTGAAATTATACAAATGGGACTTGAAATGAGCTGTGAAATATGTATTTATATTAGCAAACCTCAAAGCCCTCTTGCTATAAATGTTCAATTAGGTTAGGATATATACACATATGAAGTATGCATATAATATATCCATAGAATTTGCAATAGAAAACAAGCATATAAATATGTGGACTATATAATGTGAAATAGATGAAAATATATAGAAATATAAGGCAGAATAATCTTTTACATACTGAAGCCAGGGGATACAAGTGAGAATTTGATAAAGCTTCAACCGTCTGTGGTGTCATAAAGAGCAAGGACTATAGTCCTTAACTTTAAAATTTCCTTTCATAAAATTAAAGGCCTGTTAATAACGGTCTTCTTTTAATGGTTCTTTACTTTAAAAAAGCACCTCTGAGGGTATGAAGTTATTATGTGAAAACTCTACACAGCCCCTGCCAATATCTGTGAGTCCTGGTAGAATGTGGAAGATCCATGACATAATACCAAGCCAGACGCAGGGCAGATATATACACACACACTATGCATATATATATATATGCATATATACATATATACATATATATGTGTATATATACACACACACATATATATTTTTGACTCCAAAATTTTTCAAAACTACTTAGCTTTAGAAACAGTTATTCATAATGTTTGAATGATTATGGCTTGACTAATAAAGTTTTCAGAATCTTGAAGAAAGAAAAACTGCCTCTTGAAGAGAAAAGTCACATATTGACTATTTTTCAGTGTGCCATTCTCTGAATTTAAAGCCATGGATTAGGTAGGTTGATAAAAATGTATTCCAAGGAAAATAATATACATAATTAGGTTGAGAATTGTAAAGAATAAATATTAAGATGTTTCCCTAAAAAATAGACACAAGAGGTAATAGTGGGGAGTAAAATATAAAAAGTACACCATCACAAGTATTTTGAAGTTCCTATAGGCAGTTATAAAGAATATTTTTTAAACTAGAGATTTAGTATGCTACTATTATATGAATGAAAACAAAACTTCAACAAAATTTGGGGTTCTGGTTAATATTTTCTGTATATAATAAATTTGGAAAGGCATTGAGTGTAATTTTTTAAAGTGCCATATAGAATTTAAATATTTTTGGCAGACTTCCATAAATCAGGCAATGTTACCATAGAAGAGACACAAGCATATCTTGTGCTATATTGCATTTCAATGAAATATGCAGAGAAATAACACATCATTTGAGATATAAACATGATTCCAAATCTCAATAAAGCAGGCATACTTAAAGATTGATTTTTTTATTATACTTTAAGTTCTGGGATACATATGCAGAAGCTGTAGGTTTGTTACTTAGGTATACATGTGCCATGGTGGTTTGCTGTACCCATCAACCTGTCATCTACATTAGATATTTCTCCTAATGTTATCCCTCCCCTAGTCCCCCACCCCCTGACAGGCTCCAGGGTGTGATGTTGCCCTCCTTGTGTGTGTGTGTTCTCATTGTTCAACTCCCATTTATGAGTGAAAACATGCGGTGTTTGATTTTCTGTTCCTGTGTTAGTTTGCTGAAAATGATGGTTTCTGGCTTCATCTATGTCCCTGCAAAGGATATGAACTCATCTTTTTTTTTATGGCTGCATAGTATCCCATGCTGTATATGTGCCACATTTTCTTCATTCAGTCTATTATTGATGGACATTTAGATTGGTTCCAAGTCTTTGCTATTGTGAATAGTGCTGCAATAAACATACATGTGCACATGTCTTTATAGTAGAATGATTTATAATCCTCTGGGTATATACCCAGTAATAGGAATGCTGGATCAGATGGTATTTCTGTTCTAGATCCTTGAGGAATCGCCACACTGTCTTCCACAGTGGTTGAACTAATTTAAACTCCCACCAACAATGTAAAAACATTCCTATTTCTCCACATCCTCTCCAGCATCTGTTGTTTCTTGACTTTTTAATGCTCGCCATTCTAACTGGCATGAGATGCTATCTCATTGTGGTTTTGATTTGCATTTCTCTAATGACCAGTGATGATGAACTTTTTTCTTATGTTTTTTGGCCACATAAATGTCTTCTTTTAAATACCTATTCGAATACCCTTTATTTCTTTCTTTTGCCTGATTGCCCTGGCCAGAACTTGCAATACTGTGTTGAATAGGAGTGGTGAGAGAGGGCATCTTTGTCTTTTGCCAATTTTCAAAGGTAATACTTACAGCTTTTGCCCATTCAGTATGATATTGGCTGTGGGTTTGTCATAAATAGCTCTTATTGAGATACGTTCCATAAATACCTAGTTTATTGAGAATTTTTAGCATGAAGGGGTGTTGAATTTTATTGAAGGATTCTTCTGCATCTATTGAGATAATCTTGTGGTTTTTGTCATTGGTTCTGTTTATGTGATGAATTACACTTATTGATTTGCATATATTGAACCGGCCTTGCATCCCAGGGATGAAGCTGATTTGATCATGGTGGATAAGATTTTTGATCTGCTGCTGGATTAGATTTGCCAGCATTTTATTAAGGACTTCACATCGATGTTCATCAGAGATACTGGCCTGAAGTTTTCTTCTGTTGTTTTGTCTCTGCCAGGTTTTGGTATCAGGATGTTGCTGGCCTCGTAAAATGAGTTAGGGAGAATTCCCTCTTTTGCTATTGTTTGGAATAGTTTCAGAAGGAATGGTACCAGCTCCTCTTTGTACGTCTGGTAGAATTCGACTCTGAATCCATCTGGTCCTGGGCTTTTTTTGGTTGGTAGCCTATTAATTACTGCCTCAATTTTAGAACTTGTTATTGGTCTATTCAGGGATTTGACTTCCTTCTGGATTAGACTTGGGAGAGTGTATGTGTGCAGGAGTTTATCCTTTTCTTCTAGATTTTCTTGTTTATTTGCATAGAGATGTTTATAGCATTCTCTGATGGTAGTTTGTATTTCTGTGGGATCAGTGGTGATATCCCCTCTATCATTTTTATTGTGTCTATTTGGTTCTTTTCT